GCTGAGCCAGCCGTATCGTCGACATTGTGCGCTAGGAATTCGTATCGAGACAGCGCCAGAAGATACGTCGTTCGTGGCAGACAGCGAGGCAGATCGCAAGGAGGAGGTGTCTTCGTGCTTTGCTGTCCATCTGACCCTCTTTCCCGTCGTTACTCACGATAGATGGGGGGCGATGGCGGTAAGATGAGAGATAGGATGAGAATGCGCAAGTAAAGTTCGTTCGGAGAATCCCGTACGCGTTTGTGGCAGTCACGTCGTACCGTCACAACTTTACCTAAAGCCACAACGCCACAACTTAGACTCAAGATCTTTACTATACGGAGGCTAATATATGACTTCCTTGTTCACGATACGGTGCCCTAATTGCGCAGTCAGATTCCGCTGTTTTGACCTATTTCTAGGTGGAAGCTTTGTTCAACTCGAGACTGTTCGCGCAAGGCTACTTATATTACTCGATGCGCAAATACTAAAACCTAGCCTCCGAATTGGCGTAGACGAAGGTCACTGGTGTGGTAAATCATGCGAACAGGAGACATGTCACATGACCACGCGCTGGTTACAATGCCAAAGTTAGTCCTAAGTCCAAGCAAATCCCTGTGTCATCGTTTCAAGGATGACGGATTTTCATATCGTACTGATGCTGCATCCTGCGTCGCCGCACGTTCTGACACACCCCAAACAGAGCATCTGCCGACCGTAAGTTTACCGTTAGGAACTATGTACATGCACCCCGTTGCCTCTGTGGGGTCATATGTCCGAACAAACATGGCCTCGGCTCGGAAAATGTTGAAATTGGTCGAAGTAAGTACGCTGACTGCTTCTACTACCCGACGACACCCCGTTTTGACGACGCCACAAAATCGTCCCAGCTGAATGATTCACTACCTATCTTGTCTTTATATTTCTTGATAGTCCATTCACGACAGATGATTAGTCCAACCTTTGGAGTAACTGCCACGCCAAGTGAGCAATCCTACTTTCTGATGATAGATGGATGATATCTCACATATTGTACCTCAATCTCCGTCGTGATCGCGATGAGCTCCTGGAACAGCGCGTGCGTTGCCGACTGCAAGGTGGTGTTAAAGCTGGTAAGCTCCAATGCACCTGAGTTCAGCCATGCATTCGAGAAGGCCATGGCAGCGGCAGAGGCCTGTGCGTATACACTAGCTTCCTGAGTTGTGTTTGTGACTGCAGCGAGTATAGCACTGGTGTCGTTCGTCTGGATCATCTGGGTGATGGCGCTCACGTTGGACGCAAATTTGGTTTCGGCCACTACCTTGCCTATGTGAGCGCTTACGAAGCCGTTAGTTTATTAATCCCGCTGGAGTCATGGTAAGATGTGAGTTCTCACCGGTGCGAAAGGAGCGCTAACAGAGTGGCATCGAGGTTGAACGTCGCGTCAGGATTGAAGGTTGAATTATCCAGGTGATAGAAGAACGATGTTGAAGAGTTGAAGAAAGGAACGAGTGTGTTCAGGTAGAAACTGGTAATGTTTGCGTTGCCCGAGTAAGTGTCTTGGTGGAACCGTCCCGGAGGAAACGAGTTAGACGGAGTCGTGATGTCCGGTGGAATCAAAGGTAACGTGAAAGGATATTCGAGTCTTCCGTAGTCGTAGCGTCCACTTGCAGCTGCGATACTCTCCCGTACAGACATGAATGACAGTAGTTTCGCTCCGCCGTCGGAATAGAGAGATGGATCGGTCGGTAAATTCATGCGTTCGGTAAGAGCGCTAGGCGAGTCATGAGAATCCACATTACGAGGCACATTGCTAGGGTAGCCTTACCTAACGATGGGGGCCTCAAGCTGAGCCAGAATGTTCTGTCGAAGGGCCAACGTCAGGTGATAATACGAGTTATTACACTGGCCAACTCCATACCCGGATCTCAGTAAGACCTGGCACCTCCAGGAATGGACGAACGACTGAAGAAGACGCCATGATAGGCCCTCTGCATGACCAGAACAGCACGAACGCCAGGTATATAAAGTTCGTGAAGCTTATCATCTTGTTCAAGTTGGGGGAGGAGCGACCTGGTGAGACGCGAGCATCAAGTTACCCTATGAAGCCGGACTTTATAACGTCTGTTGATCCATCGCATATACTCGAGATACCCCAAGCACAGATCGAAATCATTCTGTATATAAGACTGTGAGGTTCTCATGGCGCCACCGTGGAACTCCAGGCCCTGGCAGGTGATATATAGTAAATCATGATGATCGCCGTCAATATTGGTACCAAAATATGACTATTGAACTATACACGTATAACAGACAGCAGCAGAAATGCATAGGAACTGTCAAACATGCTCGTAGAAACAGCCATACTCCGAATCAAAGCAACACGCGGACTCTCAAATGTAACCTAGGCGGTGCGATCATGAGGAAAGACGACATCGTGGCCGCACAATTGAACCCGGTCCAGTTCTATTTCAGAAGCAAGCCCTTGGTCGGTAATATCGTCTCCAAACCATTCGGTTGTCTGAGTGTTGAACAGAAGGTTATCATCAGCTGACAAGTCGCGGCTGCAGTGGTGCTTACATGCAAGGCACTAGCAAGTTGGTCCGCTACCAGTCTTGCTTTCTCGTTTTTACAGAAGTCCAAACGAGAGTGGGTTCCTACAGACGTGAGGCCAGCCGAGTCCATCCCGCAGCTGACCTTCCGCGTGGAGGCTTCGCGGAGATGGAGCAGAACTCTTCCGGATAAGACAGCGTGGAGTACTCGTTGCAGCCTGTTTGCCTCCGAATGAGCACTTCTTTAGTAAATGTGGCGTTTCTGGTACTTACGCGCTCAACAAAGTGCTGTAGCCATGCTACACAGTAGTCAGCGGTCGGCCAAACTGTCGTATCATACTTGGACACTTACTGGCGCTCCGAGCAACACGGCCATATTGCAGAGAGACAGGACTGCAAGTGGGAAAGTCGGTAAAAACGGGTGAAAAGGATACTCTCATCTTACTGAACAGGTATACATAATTCGTGATTCCTGCAATAGTTGTGATCGGTGACAAAACGAGTCGACGCACTACGTGTTCACTCACCATCACGGTACAGGACCTTGATGACGGAAGAGTGCGACCACCGCGCTGAATCACACATTAGAAACTATTAGATACCAGCTGCTGGATGTAGGCGTACTGTGAGTGAACAGTTTGACGATAGTGAGTATCAGAATGACTGAATGGCAGCAGGTTAGCCTGGACCCAAGTGTAGAGTTGCACGCCTACGAGTCTCAAAGGTGGCGACAAGGATGAAGACCACGAAGAGGATATTCTTCTGCGAGAGCAAGAAACATCCCGGAGTACTTGGATCCGGAGCTGTAGTGACTGGGGAGTTTCTAAGCTACCACTGTCTTGCACGGCGCTGACGGCATCTGCAAAAAAGTATTATCCTATATTAGCCTCTGTAGTCTCAATCGGAGGGGTTGGCAAGTAGCATACCCCTGGATTTGTGGGTAACAGTGGGTACCCCCCGTATAACATTGGTCACTGTTGGCCCAGTAGGTAGCCAACCCTCGATGTAGGCTTGTAGACCAGTTGGCTCATAGGTTACGTAGGACTACGTAGGCACCAATAGACGGCGATAGGCAAACAGAAAGTCATTAATTTTGATTTATGCTTCCCTATACACTCAGCTCAATGTCTGTACTACAATCAGACACAAGGCTCTTATCACGCAAAATGGTTATATTATGTAGTCTCAGACAAACAGTATTATCTACTGCTCATCATTCAGTGCGGACTGACCCCCGTTGTCGACAGCATCAAATCCTCCCTCCTGTCCAATGTCACTATGCTGACCATCCTCGGGTGCACCACCACCCCGTGCAAGCCAATCCTGTAT